TAAATGGCATTTAAATATATAAAATAAATATCAAAAATATAAATCTTTGTTTTACTATGGTTGAAATATCAAAAAATTTCTATATGTGACACGGCACCAGAGTTAAGTTAGGGTTTTTCAAAATGCTGACACGCCGAGCTCAAAAGGTTCACCATCACTGGGCTAGAAGATATCCTTGCAGGATGGCTCATTCATGTGGTTGGTGAGTCCCTGCTGGCTGTATGCAGGAGGCCTCAGTCCCTCCCCAGGTGTACCTGTCCATAGTACTCCTTGAGTGTCTCACATGACTGCAGCTAGCTTCTCCTGTACCAAGTGATCCAAGGAGGAGAACAGGGTGGAAGCCACACATCATTATTTCTGAAATGATTGACAAGCCAATACTATTCACTGGGGAAGGAGACTACATTAGGGCATAGACACCAAAAGTTATTACTTATTAGGGCTATCTTGGAAGCTGGCTACCACAATGTGTAAGAATGATGTTATACTTTCCTTCCCAAAGCTAAATATTCTCTCTGTTCCCCCTCAAGGTCATCCTTGGTTGGTTGGTTGGTTGGTTGGTTGGTTGGTTGGTTGGTTGGTTGGTTTGTACTGCAACAGCATCAGAAGGGTGGTAATGGGCATTGGTTTCTAGGAAGCAAGGAAGTCAGTGAACTGTCAGTTCTTTCCAAAACGCTTGTATCTCTGTATACCCCATACAGACTTTGAAAATTAGAAAATAAAATAACTGTACCTTTAATTCTTAACATAAATTCACTGATCTGTTTTAGTGTAGTAACCCTTTTAGATAATAAAAGTAGGCTTCTAGAAATCACAGAGGATCATGTAAGGGCTAGGTCTGAATGAAATTAAGTTCTTTTCTCCCTTTGCTAGGAAATCTTTTCTGCTGCTCCCTACTACCCATGAAAGTCATCATCCTCTTAGACTGTGCTCTCCCACTTGTTAGCCCTCCAATGTTAGGCATATAACTTAATCTCTTTGTGCTTCCATTTTGTCATTGCAAAATGGAGGCAATAATTTTTACCTATTTCTTGGAATTGCTGTGTGGGCTAAATGACATGCCTGCAATGTGTACTTATTACGATGTTTGGCACATTGGTAAGCACTCAGATATTAACTGCTGCCACTTATTTATTATGATGGTGATGGTGGATGTTGAAGTCACACTAAACCATTTTTAGATGCCTGTTCTACCTGTCCATTTATTAAACAATTACTAGGTGCTATGCTAAGCACTTCGTAGACCTTATTTTGTAAATAGGTAGTATTATCACCATTTTACAAGTGAGGAAATTGAGGGGTAGAGAAGTTTAAGTAACTTGTTCCAAAATTACACAGCTATTAAGTTGTATAACTAGATCTCATACTCAATAAATATTTGTGGAATTGGACCAGGTTTAAGAGATTGTCAGTGTGAATATCAGAAGAGCATTTCTTAAGACTAAAAACTAGAAACTGTACACTCAGTGTTTGGTGATTCATAGTTGGATTGGATGCTTTGGGATGAAAAGATCTTAGCCCACCCTGTAAACCCTAATGCCGAGTGCCGTCACTTTACCAGTACGAATGTCATTTCGTACTGGTAAGGGAAGGGAATGCAGGAGAGCAAATGCTGCTTTTAAAGAGTTACTGTTTAAATGCTTCAGAAGAAAAGTTACAGAAATCACCATACATATTCAAATCAAGTGACAGTTTTATCAGAATTTTAAATTAATGAGCATTATTAATTGACAGTGGGAACAAAATAAGTATGTACCAAGAAGAATTTACGAAATGTAATTTTGTTCAGTCAGAAAGCCAAGTGGTCTGTTGGAGCTATCTTTGAGTTTGTAGGACTTCACTTTTTATTTTGTTTTTTTTTCTCCTCCCTGTACTTTGTCTTCTGGGGGGCGGGGGGGGGGTGGGATTCTTTTCCTCAGCAAAGACATGTACAATTTGATTTTTAAATGCAGTACATTGCATTAGATAAAAGGGTTTGGGTGTAGGTGTGTTTTAATATATTTTTATTTATTTCAGAGAGGAAAAGAGAGAGAGATAGAAACATCAATGAAGAGAATCATTGATCAGCTGCCTCCTGCACACCCCCTACTGGGGATGGAGCCCACAACCCGGGCATGTGCCCTGACTGGGAATCAACTGGGAACCTCCTGGTTCATAGGTCGATGCTCAACCACTGAGCAATACCAGCTGGGCTTTTTTATTTGTTTTGTTTTTTATTAATGACTAGAGGCCCAGTGCATGAAATTTGTACACTGGGGGGGTGTCCCTCAGCCCAGGCTGCACCATCTCCAATCTGGGACCCCTCGGGGGATGTCCAACTGGCAGTTTAGGCCCAATCCTAGTTTAGACTCGACGCCTAACTGCTCCCAACTGCCAGCCTGGTCCCCCCCAACTGCCCTCCCCTGCCAGCCTGGTTGCCCCCAACTGCCCTCCCCTGCTGGCCTGGTCCCCCCCCCAACTGCCCTCCCCTGCCAGCCTGGTCCCCCCCCCAACTGCCCTCCCCTGCCAGCCTGGTCCCCCCCCCCAACTGCCCTCCCCTGCCAGCCTGGTCCCCCCCCCCTCAACTGTCCTCCCCTGCAGGCCTGGTCCCCCCCAACTGTCCTCCCCTGCCAGCCATCTTGTGACCACATGGGGGCAGCCATCTTGTGTGAGGGCGTGATGGTCAGTTTGCATATTACCTCTTTATTATATAGGATTACAGTGCTATGACTTAGGTATCAAAGATATTTGTAATCAAAATAATTAGCTGTTAAAATTTTACTCATCAAATTATTTGGAAATAATTCTAAGCAAAAATAAGAGATCATTAAATTACAAATCTGAGGAACATGAGTGTGTTTTCAAATTTTATTGTTTGGAAGGTGAATTCATTTTTGATTGTGTGCCCACTTAAAAGGCTTGTGCTTTTTATTCTCATGCAAGCAGCCTCTGGCTTCATCCGAGGAGGGTGGGACTCGTTTGGGGAATGTCTTAAGCTCACAGGTAGTATCCACTGAAAGAACATTTGCCAATTAATAGCTAATTATGATTTTGCCAAAGAGCAAATTAACATAATGGGCTGGGTGGCAGTGTAGTTAAGTCTTCATGGGCGTTGGCTGGTGCTGATGCTGCCCTGGCCAGAGCTGCCAGCAGTGCTAGTACATGTGCTGATGTCATGATCAAGCAGATAAATTCCCGGTGATTAGTGCATCTCTTAACTCCTGGGGAAGATCAGAACGTGACAGTTTTACCTGTCATGTTCACAAACTGACAAGGGAGAGAAGTGTTGTCTGATGATGATCCCGCAGAGGAACTGAGTGTCATACAAAGCACGAGAGGTACACAGTGAGCTTGGCTTTGTGAGGAACATTATTAATTCTGAAACAGCTCGGTGGCCCTTCGGCTTTCTCTGGACTGTTGTTTAATGCAGCCTATGCCTAAATTATGAAAATGGGTGTTTTTCTTGGGAAAGGCTCACAGGAACCTGTGGTCTGGACAAGAATTGTTAGATTATTATTGATGCATAGAATTTGTGTGATCATTGAGAGTAAAACTCCTGCTAAGCAAGGCATATCCAGAAAAAAACAGGAGTCATGAATGAAGTATTAGACATGGGTACTAATTGACTTTTAGAAGAAAGGCTGTTTACCTGCCTTTGGAGAATAGGTTCTATGCCATATACCCTCCCCTGCACCTGTCCATGCGCCATGCCCGTGAGTTCATATGACTCCATGCTGTCAGCTAAGGCCTGGTAACAGGAGGAGAAGCATTTCTTCCCCAAAGTCTGATTTAAATGTATAGAGGGCTGATTGTTTTGAGGACAGGAAAATCAAGAATTTAGGAAAGAAGTATAATTTTCATAGAGTGGCCACTGAACTTATAAAGTGAACAGCTAATTTTTAAGAGTTCCTGTGTGTCCTTGGGTCTTTTGTTTCTCACTCTAATTAAAAAATCCAAAGTAGAAAACTCAGAAGGCTGAATGTTGCTTTCGCCATGACCTTGTCTACTGTATTCATCATAGGAGATAGGAGAACTATAATTTCTAGAGAGAGAAAACGTCTGGGTGTCATCAGCCCTGACGGCCAAGGGAGGTGTGACTTCTAGGGAGATGGCTCTTGAAAGTTGTCCATCCCAATCAAGCCACCTCTCCTGTTGCTCAGGGCTTACCATGAAGTGCTAGGGAGAAAATTTGCCCAGCAGGATATTCCCAGTCATGTGTGAGATGACAGGGATGCAACTTAATTAAACTAGTCACTGAAATAGCAGGGTATGTCTTCCGGAGATGGGGAGCCAATCTGGACACAAATGCCCGCTTAAATGTTAATGGATATTGTGAAATAATAATGGGCCTTTAAAAGAGGGAACAGGGGTTAAAGTTAGTTATAATGTTACACATATTTCCAAAGCATTAGGCAGAGTAAGCTTAGTGCCAAGATAGTTAACTTACTACAAGATACTTTATTGAATTAAGTGAATTGGTACTCTGGTAGCTGTTCCTGTTTTTGCTAGTTGTCTATCTTCCATGTCTGTGAACAACGAAGATGGCCTATACTTAGAAAGCAAGCAGTTGAATTTGACTTACACACAGCACTTCTGCCTGTCACGCTGGCCCACGGTACTTTCACTGTCTACACCCCTTTTACCCTCCTAGGCAAATGGCAAATCGTTCAGGACTTCTAACAAGTTTCCAGCTGTGCATTTTCAGATGCACTAGACTCCAGCTGGTCCTATACCGTTGATCCAGGCTAGAACAAGAGCTTTGACAGACATGGTCTCTGGCTACCTGAGTCTGTAACTTATTCAAAGACAGTATCGTCCTGCATCAGGACCAGGCCACAGCATGGACTTAGCTCTAAGCAGAAAGAAATCCAGATTTCATAGTATTGGCCATATTTAAAACAACATTTCAGATACACTTGGAAGCAGGCCGCACAGCTCAGTCTGCAGTTGAGACAGCATGCTTTTCTTTTTGAGATCTTACAGCATCGCTCATGCTCTCTCTTGGGACTTTCGATTTGCAGATGCTAATGCTGGAGACCGTGGACAGACCAATAACGCTGCTTCTGCATCAGCTTCCAACTCCACCTGAACAGTCCCGAGCAGCCAGCTGCACAGGAAAAACCACCAGTTACTTGAGTGTCACTCAGCAACACTGGTCACGTTTGGAAAGAAAATTAAAAAGAGAAAAAAAAAACCTGTTCATTTTAGCGTTCAATTTTTTTATTATTGTTGTTGTTATTATTTAACCTTGTAAAATATCTATAAATACAAACCAATTTCATTGTATTCTCACTTTGAGGGAGAGCCAGGGGTGGGAGGGTTGGGGGGAGGGAAGGCGGAGCACCAGAACACGATCTCTCTCCCACGACAATCTTACCAGAAGTCTGCTGTTGGATACTTTAAAAACAGGACTCCTGCTTCATGCCCCTTCCACAAAATAAGAAAACTTTGTTCTGTGCTGAAGTTTTTTTGAACTTTTTTCTTTTAAAGTCAAGTGTAAGACTTGGTATAGTGCACAGCTTGAAATTGGTTGGGAGCTTAGCAGGTGTAACTCCGTGGGGACTTAAATTCACTTGTAAAATTAATCCATATCCTGGGGCGTTCGAAGACTTGCCTTTGGCATGTTGGTGGCAGGTGTGGCAGACAAAAAAAAAAAGGAAATGTGTATCCTTTGTAACCCTGGGAGGTCAATAAAGTTAGAAGCTGTAAGGGGAAGATTCTTAATTGATGTGTTAAAGTTCTGTTTTGCTCTTAATCAGTGCTAGTGGTGGGCGAACTTGTGTAAGAGGCTGTCGGGAGGAGCATGCCTGCTCCTCCTGTGGATCTTTGTTTGCCTGGCCAAAGGTTCTCTGCAAACCTTAGTACGGTTGTAAACTAGTGACCCAGCAGAAGGCTGACAAAGCGTTGAGCCGGCCACTCTGGCTGTGGAGGTCAAAAGTCGATAAACCCGGAGGAAGGGACTGGCCAGGGCAGGTCTCACCACTGTGAATGAAGTATTCCAGATTCTTCTCTAAAGTTGCTTCCCTTGGAAAGATACACTTGAGAGGACATTATAGTTAAATAATGTGAACTGTCACAGTCTACTGGTTTATTTTCATATTTTTTAATTACAGATTGAGCTTGCAGAAAATGCCACGTTCTGCACATAGTTCTGATTTTAAATCCAAATCTAGAATCTGTATTTAATTTCAGCTTTTTTTAACCTCATGCTTTTTAAATTTTATTTATTGATGCATGTGTCAGGCCATTATGATTCTAGATGATAGGAATATTACAAACTACGCATCCAAATGATATAAACAGTCACTAGTACCTGCTGACGTTATAGGAAAGTGGATTATATAAATGTGTGTATATGTGTTATGTATAATAGATTCAGTACTGCCTTTTGTTTTTGTTTTCATTTTGTCCACAGTATCAAAATTGACTGCTTGAAGAGTGAGAAGAAGAATGATTTCCCTATACCCAGTTAAGAGTTTTGTTTGTTTTCTTTTCTGTATCAGTGGATGGTGTAAGAACCAGTCTCTGTTTTTGAAGAAAAAGCAATATTCCTTGGAAAGCAAGGAGGATTGAAGGATTATGTTTGCAGTGAGGAAATAGATTTTTACAAAGAGTTTGTTTTACATGTTTAAGGTTGACATCTATGTGGGCCTTATATACTCTAAAATGAACCTTAGTCACCTTGGTGCTTATGGGCCATTACTTGACCTATGAATCTTTAAGGCACAACCAGTTGTACTTTACATGTAAAGATTACTTGAGTGATGGTCGCCTTTCCCCGTACCTGCTCCTTCCCCACATGCCTTCTACGGTTCACTGAGAGCTAGGGCTGCAGAGCTGGGCCCTAGGTTGTGTGTAACCTACCTTCCCCTTCTCATTGCCACCTTAGGTCATGTTAGGGGTCTCGCCCTCCAGGCGATTTGGAAACAGAGTCTCTTGACAGCCCTCATGCTGGTCCCCAGAGCCTGTACTACTTACCCAAGTGTGTGTGACTCCCGGAGAGTCGACTGCCTGCTGAAGTGAACCAGTGCCAGAAAGGCAGCTGTGAGCCATCATCGTCTTCACTCACTGCTTAGCTGTGCTCTTAGGCCGCAGAAGGGGTTTCTCAAACCTCTGGTTGTATCAGAGTTCATGAGGAAGGAAACATCCTCGGTCAAACCAAATCAAACGTATTGAATTTTACTTTTCATAATGAGCCTCTAAGAGCTGATTAAGATTGGAAGGACGTCTGAGTGAAAGTATTTGGCAACATGATACTAAAGGAACGGCTTTGATAGGCCATTTTCAGAAAAGATTTATAAAGAGGCCGAACAGCAGGTCTGTGACAGAAATGGACCTGCTTTCAGACCACTGCCTGGCCAAACATCTGGACAGACACTACTCTGGATTTGGTATATCTGCCAGAGTCCATAGAAACCTGTGCTTATTTTACAAAATACCTTCCCCCCGATAAATGGGGTGAGAAAAGAGAAGAGTCTAATGCTTTCCTCTCGTGTTGTGTGTGCGTGTCTGAGGGCTGAGGTGCGTGATTTTTTTTCTTTCTCAAGGATCATGGCAGGATCACAGAGCTCTTTTATACAAGTGAGATCCAGGTCTCTGCGTATCTTTTTGTAAATAATAAAATAATAATAATAATAAAAGCTCCTCACCAAATTCAAGCTTGTACATTATATTTTCTTTCAATGTTTTTAAATTTAAGTTTTATTGTTTTGTATGTAAATATGTGGACCCAGGAACTGTTATTAATGAGCAAAAAGTTACTGTTCAGGGCAGTGATTCTGTTTAATAATCAGACAAAATGTAGACGAGCTTTTTAAAGCCATATAGTTTTAACTCTGTACAGTAGGTACCGGCCTGTATTATTGTAACAATAACTCTAGCAATGTATAGTGTATCTATATAGTTTGGAGTGCCTTCGCTTCCATGTGTTTATTTGTTGTTTTTCATTTTTTAAATTTTAATTGGTTTCTCTCTATATCCATGTCTCCCTGTCCCCACCCTTATTTTCCTATGAAATAATAGCTCACTCATAACACAGTGTCTGTGCCCCTTCACGGTGAATTTCAGTGATACCATGCTCAGGAGTGGAAAGAGGAAACCATGTTTATAATCTGTCATGTAATCCCTGCCTTTGTTTTGGTTCTGAACATAATGTCTTCCTCAGTAGCAGTGATTGGTTTCATTTCATCCTTAGGCCATCCAGGGACTCAGCGTAGTGCCAGGGAGCCCTAGAGCTGGAGGGTATCAATTAGATTTTGCTCGTCTCTTCCCCAAACCCTAACCATGGGTCTTACAATCAGCAGATTCCATGCTCACTCTCCTCATTTCCTTCCCTCACAAATGAGAGGGGAGAACTGGTTTTTGTAAATCAGTTCCATCATAGCATTGGGTTTTGCTAATCAGTGGTCTGAAATGCCATGGTAAGATTGCAGGCAGTAATGCCGGAGTGTGCGCGAGGACTGTGGCTTAATGAGGGGACTCCGCCTGTCTGTCCTCCCGCCACCTCCACCCCTTTCAGCAAAATCTCATTTTAATTTCTTTTTGAAAAAATCATTTGAATTCTTACTGTGTGCCCATCATGAAGGCCTTTTTTGAAAGAAAAAAATCAAAATTACTTGTTTTGCCTCCAAGTACTCCATATGAGATGTCTTGAATAGAAGAAAAAAACAAACTTTACCAAACCAAAGGTTCCTATTTTTGAAACATCATGTGTTCATTCCAGCAAGGCAGAGGACTGCACCTTCTTTCCAGTGACATGTTGTCATTTTTTAAAGTCCTCTTAATTTTTTAGATACATATTTTTGGTGTGTGTTTTAACAAAGCTGCCTAACCAGTCATCTGGTCTGCACCAATGCAAAGGTTTCTGAGAGGACTCTTGTATTCTCTATCCCTGTGGATATAAAGACACTGGCATTTTATTTCTTTTTCCCTTTCCTTTTTAAGGGATTTAACTTTGGAATCTTCCAAAGGAAGTTTGGCCAATGCCAGATCCCCAGGAGTTTGGGGTTTCTTTTCTTTTAAACAAAAATTGTAACTGATTCCTGTTGTTGTTCTTAGTGATCATCTAATCACAGAGCCAAACACTTGTCCCGTCTATAGAAAAATAAACTAAGCATGCTTTACAATAAAATCTGACTTTGCTGATATAAACCTGAGCCACCGAAGATAAGAGAGACAACTAGAAGCAGAATAGAGTCCCAGACTAAGGTCTACGTTTGAGAGGCTTCGAAAGTAATCCCTGAGGTTTGGATTATTTTCATAAGGGTTATGATGTTTTATTCAAGTTTGTTGCTCCGTTTTGCACCTCTGCAATAAAAGCAAAATGACAACCAGTACATAAGGGGTTAGCTTGACAAAGTAGACTTCCTTGTGTTAATTTTTAAGTTGTTTTTTTTTTCATACTATATCTGCTACAGGCAGATTCAGATAGATGTATGAAATGTGCTTGCCTGTAAAATTGCATTTATAAATGTGTTGCCGATGGATCACTTGGGCCTGTACACATACCAATTAGCGTGACCACTTCCATCTTAAAAACAAACCTAAAAAACAAAATTTATTATATACATATATATATATATATAAAGGACTGTGGGTTGTATACAAACTATTGCAAACACTTGTGCAAATCTGTCTTGATATAAAGGAAAAGCAAAATCTGTATAACATTACTACTTGAATGCCTCTGTGACTGATTTTTTTTTTCATTTTAAATATAAACTTTTTTGTGAAAAGTATGCTTAATGTTTTTTTTTCCCCTTTCCCCATTCCCTTGTAAATACATTTCGTTCTATGTGACTTGGTTTGGAAATAGTTAACTGGTACTGTAATTTGCATTAAATAAAAAGTAGGTAGCCTGGAAATGAAATTAAAATTCACAAGTGTGTGGTCTTTATTTCACTACCCAGCCCTCTTCTTCACCCGGCCTGTTTTGCCACTGCAATATGTAGACACATCACCACCTCTTTTCCTCCAATTAGAGAAACACGGATCTTTGTTATAAAAATCGAGATATGAACATTAGTTCTCGTTCTTTCAAATGATCTTATTCCATTGTGTAGCCGAGAGGTGCAGCTTCCGTCTTGGAAACCTTTGGATTTGATGCAGAGGAAGCTTTGCAGACACGGCATTGAGAAGAAAGAAAACATCCCTGAAAGGGACAAATTTTTAAAACGTGAATAAGCTGCTGTCTTCTGTTACTGTGTTCATGGTTTGGTGTAGCTGTATTTTTTTTTTTTAAGTTCCATCCCATTAGTAATGGTCTTTGGGAGTATCTGTAAAATAAATGAACACAAACAGTGGGGCTGTACCTCCCTGGTAACCAACACATGTTGTGTTTGAGTCTATCATTTCCAATATTGGATGATGTATGTAAACATGTAATGTCTCTTAGTGCAAAAAGAAACTTTTTTTTTCTTTTTAGGGCTGGCTCACTGTCAGGCCTAATCTAAAGGCTAGATATAAAGTCATGTGACTGCTGCTTCAATAAAAACAAATTTATATTGGATAAAGTCTGGTCCTCTTTGTTCACTTATGTTTTTGTTGTGAGACGTAACAGGGGAGGGGCAGGGGGTTAAGATGTCTCTTGTAGGATAGGCCAGCCTCCTGATAGCACTGAAGTGCTTTTGTTTGGGATTCACTAATATTTCCTGCCCCGTTTGAATGGGGGTTGAACAGGATGCCCTTTTAACTTAAAATCCTGGAAGTCTGCATTTCCAGTCCTTTGGGATCACATTTCTGGGGGAGCAGTGACTGGATGCCATTTGGGGTTCTAAAAGGGTAGTGAGGAAAGGGAGGGGTCAGGTTGCAGGTTCCCTTCAAGGAGAAGGTGGTGAAAGAAAGTGACCACAGTGATGGACCGTCACCCAGTCCTCGGGTGCAGGAATATTTGACTTACCCACTAGCACCTTGGGATTTAGGAGAGTTGTGAGTGCATTACGGCAACGTGTCCGGGGAAAACAAGCTGTTGTGGAAGGTGGGATGATGAGGCCCATGAGTTGTCAGAGCTGAGGGGACAGTCAATCAAATGTACGTTTCTCTTTCCGTCCTCTCCACAAAGGAGAAGCCCTGGGCCTTCCCCAAAGATGTCAAGGCTTTAATGGGATCCTTCAAGCTGGGGCAGGTAGGGATTGGCTGCTGCGAGGCTCTGACCAGTGGGGGAGCCAGACAGTGAACATGACTTCCTTAGGAGGTCTTTTTCCTGAGCTTTGGAGTCGGACTTCATCCTCACCTGACCGGCAAAACCTAGAAAAAGAACGGTGGCTAGGGAGATGCCCAGAAAGTGACACTCCGTCTAATGCTCAGAGCTCGGGAAGGGAGTAATAAGGAAATCCGAATGCTTGAGAGTAGGGTCTGGCGTCTAGCCCTCTAAACCAGACCACACAGCTGCTGAGAGGAAGGGTCCTGTGTGAGCTCTTCGGTGCACCTAACCTTGACTCTTAACTGCACTTGGACTACACTTACTTTTTAAAAGTATTTATGTTGTTAGTATTAAATCATTGTTTGGGGAATTGCCCAGGTTTTTTAAAACCAATACATTCTTTTTTTTTATTTATTTAAATTTTTTATTGTTGACACTATTGCAGATGTCCTGCATTTTCCTCCTCTTTGCCCACCTCCACCCAGCCCCGCTCTTGGTCCTCCCATTATTGTGTGTGTCCATAGACTATGCATATATGTTTTTTAGCGAATCCTACTTCACCTTCCTTTATCCAGTGTCCCTCACCTCCCTGCCCTCTGACATCTGTCAGTCTGTTTCATGTATCCATGCCTATGGTTCTATATTGTCTGTCAGTTTATTTTGTTCACCAAATGCCACATATTAGTGAGATCACATGGTATTTGCCTTTCTCTGACTGGCTTATTTCCCTTAGCATAATAATCTCCAGGTCCATCCGTGCTGTGACAAAGGGTAGGATTTTTAGTGTGTAAATGTATCACAGCTCTTATCTACTCATCCACTGATTACATCCTGTCTTAATCTCACCTTGCCCTCACTTCACTGTAGCCTGCATTTGAATGAATAGCACACTCAAAATTATTCCAGTGGGAAAGAGGAGACCCATTTGATTTATGAATACAGTTGAATGAAGTTTATATTTCCAAAAGAAATTCCTGGGGGCAAAAACTGAAGTCATTGCATTTGCAGAGAGAAACTTTTCCCCTCCGTTTCCTTTCTAAAAATGAGGGTGTTTGTCTCCTTGATGCAGAGAGGCTGGTACACCTGGAGGAATTTGGGGCATAAGTTTGCTTGCTTTGATATATAGTGTCAATTTCTTATGGTCTCAAAGTTTGGCCAATTTCTTGTAAAATGGTAAAAGCTAAGCAAGTATCTGTTCCTTAAAATTCAGTTAATGTGCAGCTTCATTTGCATCAACATATTACACTTTTGAAATTAGTTCAATTACTACATTTTTAATTATGGTATAAATATATTAAATTTTTATATGGAGCAATCATTTTACGAGGAAGCCAAGTTAATGCATTTTTATGTTCTTTCACCACAATCTTCAGATATGTAAAGGGCAATCCTATATAATAAAGAGCTAATATGTAAATGGCCCTCGCGCCGGGGCCAGGGGAACTGAGGCCGCATCCCCCGTTCCGGCACCAGAGCCAGGGGACCTGAGGCCGGGCTGGGGAACCTGAAGCCGCACCCCCCGCCCCAGTGTCAGGGCCAGGGTACCTGAGGCTGGGCCCCGCCCCCTTCCCCCCCCCCCCCCCGCCCTGCAGGGCTTGATGGGGGTGGGGCCGGTTGCATCTGGGTCTCACGCGATTTCGAGGTGTGTGCGGATGGGTGGGGACTTGACTCTGGGTCCCATGGCGCGCCCCAGACTCTGACAGGAGGAAGATTTTCATACACATTTTATAATTTTCTTTCATCTCTGACACTTCTATTATAGAGAAAGGGCAAATAGCAATATTAAAATATTTCCTCTAATTAATTCCCTTTTAATGTGCACAAATTTCGTGCACTGGGCCACTAGTCCTATATAATAAAAGGCTAACATGCAAATAGACCGAACGGTGGAACAATTGGAACAACCAAACAGCCGATCACTATGACGTGCGCTGACCATCAGGCAGTGTGTGCAGAACATGGCGGGTGTTGGCTGCGGTGGAATGGTGGAGCAGGTGAGCGGGGGCGCCAGACCAAGGCAGGGCACTGGTCACTGTCATTGGGGTGAATCTCTGGTGGTTACTGAAAATTCTTTGCTCCTGCATGCCATAGTTCCGCCAGGTGCTTGCACCTGCTGCTGGCACCGGCCCTGCTCGCACCCACTGCCGGTGCCTGGTGCTGGTCCCGATCACTTGGCACCATCACCTGGTGCAAGTGGCGCTGCAGGCCCTGATCACCCCTGAGGGCTTCTCTACCTCCCCCTGCTCCTGAGGGTTGATCAGGGCAGTAGCCGCTGCTTGCACCCACTACTGGGGCCAGCCCCAATTGCTCTGCGCCGTCAGCAGGTGCGAGCAGACCCAGTGCTGTCAGCACATGTGAGCAGCAGCGGGAGCAGGGCTGCTGACAGACAGGGAACCAAGGGCCGCAGGGGGAGGGGACAGGAGGGGGCAGGGAGGATGGGCCAAGACCCGCCCCTGTGCCTACCGCAGCCTCTTGGCCCACAGTTCCTTTCAAGGTGCACAAATTCATGCACTGGGCCCCTAGTAGTAAAATCAGTAGTAAAGAATAGAAACAGAAATTTATATATTATATACAAGACATTTCTGTTTTCTTACCCCCACGTCTATCCCTGTCCCCAGAAAAGAAGGTGAAAAAAAGAAAAAGGTTTAAATATCTAGCCAAAAGTTAATTAAGTCAGCTTTCCTTAATTTGACAATAAACTCGGGATTATATTTGCTAACTAAGCCTTAGCTGTGGAATGCATTATGTAAAATTAGTTAAAATGTAATAGGCAAAAAGCAAAAATGTTTTTACTCAAATGGCTATAAACAAAGCAGACACTTTCATACCCTTTAGCTTTGAAAACAGAATCGTGACCGGAACATACGGTGCAAGCATATCTAGCACATTTATTAACTGCCTGTCAACGTAGCCTGTCACAACACCCCAGCATTCGGCCTCAGGAGCAAGCCCCAGCCCCAGCTCAGATGGGGAGCAGACCTACACCAACTCACACACATGTGTACACACATGTTGCAGGGATCCCCAACACAGCTTGGCACCCACACAAATTTCTTGTGTCACTTCTCCTCTTGACCAACGTTATCTGTGTATCTGCTTTGTTTTCTTTACTGAACTCTAAACTCTTCGAGGTCAGGATCCCTGGCCGGTTCAGCGTGTATACCACACAGCAGGCTGCGTGTTGTTGGTACTGAATGTGTTTGAGTGGATGCTAAGACCCAGGAGGAAGGAAGAACAGACACACAGAGTGGTCATGACAAGCTGCTGACACGTGCAGGCTTTCCGGCCTCTCTCTAGACTCCCCCAGACGCTAATGCTCCTGCAGATGGACACGGGCCTGGAACTCACGAGCAGCTCAGGACAAGGCTGCGGGTGGAGAGCGAGTGCAAAGTAGGAGACAGGGTACTAGGAACAGCAGCGAAAAGACCCACGAAGCTAAGGAACGTGGGCCGAGACCCTCAGGCGGCCCAGCTCCCGTCGTCCTTTCTGCTCTCCTACCACTAAATCCCAGGCCGCAGGGCCTTTTGTAAGGGGGTGGCGGCCTTGCCTCTTCATAGGCTCTACCTTCAGGCCCAGGCGCTCTCTTATAAGGTCAGTGGCTTTGCTTTCCACAGACTGAGCTGGGGCTGAGGGCCCATGTCCCCTTCCTGGGAACGCTGGCCAGCACCGTCGGAGCTGTCGCCCTGAGAAGGCAGGACCTGCAGGGCCTGGTCAGCTCTCAGCGGTGTCCATCTGTCCAGCCCTAGGAGTGGGCCCCGAGGGCTCTGGTTCTGGCTGCCCCACGGAGGCGCGCCCCTGGGGCAGCCCCTCAGGCGTCCGAGATGCTGAACAACTCCTGCATGAGGGGCGTGGCGAAGGGGTGGATGTCGTGGATGCGCAGCAGCCGCTGGGTGTGCTGGGCGTTGATGCTGCGGAGCTCGGTGAGCCTGGCCATGATCTTCAGGAACAGGAACCTGCGGGCCGGCCAGAGGGAAGGTTGGGGTGCAGCCCACCCTGGCCCCACCTCCCGCCCTTGGACCCCTCTGAAGTCGCCCAAGTTTGGGGGTTTTAATCTCAGAACAACATTTCGGGTCAGCCCAGGGAAAGGCTCAGTGGAATCACTTAAGCTTGTCTTTCAGCCTGTGGGCGAGAAGGTGGGGCGGCCTGGGGGACTGGAAGTGCTACACCCCCACGGGCACCTCTCGAGTCCGTGTACGGGAGATTCCCGGGGGGACACCCAGGTATTTCAGGCACCGAGTGCATGGCTCAATTTGTGGGGGAATCTCTGCCGTGGCTAACGGCTGGGGGGAGGACCGAGGACAGGGGTTATGGGAGCAGGGGTTGCAAGCAGCGATCCCTTCTGGATCTAGTCTGGGATCTCGGCCTCACTTTCCCCATGATGCCTCCCGGCTCCGTACAGGGGAGGACTGAGCAAATGAAGACACAGCCCCTGCAACACCCCAAGATCCTGAGTGGATCCATTACATGCATTATGTAAAATTAGTTACAGGATCATGTAATCCAGCTCAATAGAAAGCTGGAGCGGGCCAAGTAGGGGCGGGGCTTAAGTTGACACCAGCATACTCAGGGCTGGCCCTTCAGCCCTCGTGGCTGGAGCCTGTGGGCCGCTGAGGCCCGGGAAGGGTGGAAGCCACTGTCCGGCCAAGCCCTTAGCAGCCTTCCTCCCTTGGGTTGTAGAGAACAGACTAAGGAGTCTCCTGCCCAGTTTGCTTGCCTTTGTTCTGGGAGGCGGTTAGGCAGTGCTCAAGAGAGTGGGCTGTGGACTGGGGCCACCTGGGGCCCACTCCGGCCCCCACCCCTGTCGGCCG